TCCCTCCCCACCCACCGCAAGGCGTTGAATTTCTCGATCCCTTCCTTTGCGGCCGGCAGCTCCCGATCTTCCAACTCCTCTTTCTCCTTCTCGAACCAGGCATGGGCCAAGGCCTCCCGCGCCGAGAGCCTCTGCTGCGGGTCTCGGTGGAGAAGACGGCTAATGAGGTCTTTGGCCTCGGGGGACACAGCATCCCATTCGGGCGAATGGAAATAGAAGGTGTGCCGCTGACAGAGGGAGAGACAAGGCAAAGAGAATACAGGGAAAGCGATCGAAAGGGTGCTCAGTAGGAGGCAAACGAACCCGAGGCCGCGCTCTCATTTCAAAATCCTAGCCGTTGAGCCAGAAAGGCCTGGCCGTTTACCTTTCGGAGCTGGTCCTGGTTGTCGGCAAAAGGAGGGTACCCTCCCAAGAGGATGTAGGCAATGATGCCGGCGCTCCACACGTCCACCTTGGGCCCATATTTCTGACGAGCCAGAATCTCTGACGGAAAGAAACGGAAGAAAAGCTAAGGAAAGGAAGGAGGAAACGGGGGGAGGAGGGAGGAAGGGAGGGAGAGGAAGAAGGGAGGACAGGCAAATCTCTCCGCACCAGGCGCCGTGTAGGAAGGCGTGCCGCAGTAGTGAGACAGACAGTCGGATTCGGTGATCAGACAGGCGGCCCCGAAGTCCGCCACTTTGATGTGCAGGTCGTCCGTTTCGCTTTCCAGGAGGAGATTCTCCGGCTGAAAAGGGTCAGGAGGGAGAAATACTGAGCGGATGGATGGCACTAAGACAGCGACAGGAGCATGCCCTAGGGAAGCACACAGCACCAGTCCTCCCTCCCCGCCCCCGGGCTCCGGCCGCCCAATGTCTCCCATACGTGTCCTTTCTCACCTTCAAATCCCTGTGCACGACCCCTGCGTCCTCGTGGCAGAAGGCCAGGGCGGTCAGGAGCGTCCGGATCACGTCTCGGGCTTCTTTCTCGTTGTAGGTCGTCTTGGCGACGATGCGTTCGAAGAGCTCCCCGCCTTGGCAAAATTCCATCACCACGTACACCTTGTTTTGCGTGGGGGCCTCGAACAGGTCGTAGACTTGGACGATGCGATCGTGCTGGAGGGATTGGAGGATGGTGTACTCCTGCACAGAAAGGGTTTAGGGACCGGGTGACGCCTTAAACTGTTTCCACAGGCTCTCTGTCCAGACCTTTACACGGCACCTTAGATAATGTGTGGCTTGTCTAAAGGACGTGGTGGATTTTTCTGGAAAAAGTTGGCCATGGGATCCACACTTACCTTATGGATGTCCGCCCTGATCCTGGCTTGCTTCTTCGCGGGAACCCGACTCAAATCAAAAACTTTCACTGCGGCCACGTTGCTCGACGTGGATTTTGGCGTGCATTTATACACGACTGCAAACGCGCCTGTCCCTAACTTGGGACCTAGCTGATAAAGGCTTTCGAAGTGGGCCGCATTGGTCACAAGAGTCCCCTCAGTTCCAGTTGGGTGCGTGTCGAGGCTCTTCTTTGCAGAAAGACAGCCAGCTGTGACACTGTGGATTAGGTTTGAGGGCGGCAGGATATGACGATTGGAGCGGTTCTGATTTTGTAATAATTTATTATGGAAGCTTGGCAAGGGTAGCTCATCCACATCGTCTTCACTTCTTTCGTCCGGGTCAAGGAAGTACGCTGCTAGTAGAGCTCCGCCCGCTACAATACCCGGCCTAGCTTTCACAAAAGCCATAATGCGCTGAAACGAAATCGATGGGAATGATCGAGAAGCCATCTCGTCTATCCCTCCACTACGCCTGTTATGACAAGGAAATACACAGTGCGAAGTATAGAAAATTAGGAGGCGGTAGTTTGAATTCGGTGGGGAGGCTGAGAGGAGATTCCTCTCTGGGAATCCTCACTAAAAAGGTTTTTCTATCCCGCAGGATCCCGAAAGCAGCACCATATCACTAGATCTCAGGACGCCTGAAACTTGCCAGAGACCTGTGCGCGGATTATCATGCAGTGTACACGACCACAAATCGATACCATGACCGGGTGAAGCTCGAAACCGTTGGGAGACGAGATACCGAACTTGAAGTATGGCGACATGCTCCTTCGGAAAACTGAGGATTTGGCAACACTTGTACTCTACCTGGCATTACTCTCCATTCCTACACATTTGATTTCCTAATTTTATTTTTTAATTTTTGATTACGTCATGTGATTTGGCATACTTTGATACGCATGTTTTATGTTCTGCAGCAGCCTCATTTCAATATTTATGTCTGGGAGAAGGTTGATAGCAAATAATGATGCATAGCATTCGTATCCCGAATTAGAAATAGGTTGGCTCGTACTTTGCGGCATCTTTTTCCTTTGGATGGTTCATGCAAATTCACAATTCTACGCATCTACTTGTCAAAAGCCGGGAGGCAACGGCCGTTGATGAGCTGTACAAAACAACCGAGCTCTGTCTTTTGCATCCAACTCTGCATCGTCGTAAGCCTGCCTCTTCCACGCCTCAGTCGCTTGGTTCAATCTGGCCACGTCTCGATAGACGTAACGCGGGAGGGAACGTGCCTGCCCACCTTCCGCCCCTCCTCCCTTCTCATCCCTCCCCGACGTGATGTCTTCTCCACAACCGAAGATGGCCTGCTCCCAATATACATTCCGTAAAGCTGCCTTCTGTAGCCGCGTTCTTGCTTCTGCCTGTCTGCTGGGCCGTTGTGCCCATATCTGTTGACGACGTTTCTCCGCGTGTCGCAAACTCAGGACCGCCCTCCGTGCCAGGATTAGCTTGACAAGCTTCGGGTCATTCGAAGACATATAGTTCTTTACACCTTTCGAACCCTCCACCACTTTTTTAAAGGTTCTTTCTTCTTGTGCCACAGTATCGGCCTCTCTGCGCGCCAGGGATATCAATCGCTCCCTTTTCTCCCTCGCGTCCCGTTGGCGAGTCAAGTGCTCCTTCAGTCTCGCCGATCGCCGCAACCATGCTCCCCGCTCACGTTTCTGCTTGGCAGACGCCTCTCTCCTTTTCTTTTCCATATCGGCCCGAATTTGGGCCTCCTTTGCCTGCCGCCACGCCCGGATGGACCGTTGCAGTCGCACCGCTGCCTCCTCTTTCTTGGCTGCTCCCGGTCCAGCTACTGCCTCCTCGAGTCGTTGTACCCACATAGACCGATTTTTCATCCTGAGCCGATGTTCTTTGTACCAGAGCAAGTGCCGCATGATTTCCCCCTCGCTCCGTTGCCAGAGGACGCGGACTGCCCTTTCCAAGAAGGACATGGTGCGTTGCATGTCTGCCACCGGGTCCTCCCTTTCGTGCCCGGTGCTTCCCCCCTCCCTTCCCCCTCCCTGCCCAGACTCCTCCCACAGAGTAAGGAATCGCGCATGTTCTCCTGCGAGCCAACCCCCTGTCAGGCCCCCGTCACGAAGGATCTCGTCCTCCAACTTGTTCATTGCCGCCTGAGCTTGCAAAAACTCTGTCGAAGTCTCTCTCACAATGCCGCCAAGATAACCAAATTGGCCCTTGCTTCTAGCAATGGGGTCGCATGCTGATTTCCGTTCGCTTTTTCCCTCCTGTCTTTTATCTTGCTTACGCTCCTGCTTTCCATGGCGCGTGGCTGGTGGCCGCCCTCCTCCACCAACTTTCTTGTCCAGCGTGTCGACAGCTTTTATAGCCTCTTTCACATTTTTTCTCAGTAAGTTTTCCTTCTCTCGCAGCTTTTTACATTCTCGATTCTGAGTCAGACGGCACGTGTGCAGCAGCTCCTGCAACGAGGCCATTTCTTCGTGGATTTCAGAAAGACCTTCTGTATCGTTTTCTGATTTTCCCCATGCTCTTCTTGCAGAGCCCACTCTTGCATGCGCAACACCAGATACTCCAAACCGTTGTACCTGACCTTCTTCCTGATGTTTCTGCTGCCGTTGGTGCTCGCGGCGACGACGAATTCCTGTCCTAGCTTTGGTTAAGGCGCTGTGGAGCCTGGCTGTCTCTTCCCTGGACGACTTGAAGGATGAACCAAAATGCGGTGTATTGTCTACAGCCAACTGTACGCCCGTTTGCTTCACCAGGTCGTAAAGCTCTTGTTTCAGGCGCCTCACTTGCTGCTTTAGGGCATGGTGCCGTGTGGTGTACGCCTGTCGGTCTTTCTGTTCTGTAAAACCCGCGGTCTCACCGACCACTGTTCGCAAAGTCGGTGCCATTTACCGTATACAGTACCTGGTCATGTATGGAACGCCAGGAATGAGCCTCCACAATGTGGGTGTGGCATAAAGGGTAGACGGCCAAGGGAGTGTGGAGATAATTTCATATCCGACGCATACGCGGGAATGTAGGCGACCCTATGGACAACTCCTCCCGGGAGCCGTCGAGAGGTTTTCAAGCAAACGGAAAAGGATTTCGTGTATATTCTTTAGCTCGAACGTCTCGAAGCACCTTTTCGACAGCGGTTTGTAACAGTCGGAGTGGTACTCACACATGTTTGTCCATTATTTGTCTCTTAATACCTCCCCCACACCCTGTTAGGAGAGGGTGGCTGGCGCGAGCAGGCCCTCCCATGGCTTTCCGCTACGCCGCATGTTTCCTCCTCACCATCGCCTTCATAATTATCCTAAGTCCTGTCTTCGCATTTAAGTCCTCCCTATGCACGCGTGGATTGTCTTCCTACGTCGCAGTCGGGCGCCTGTGTCCAAAGAGCAGCATTACCAGTCTGAGCAACGGCAATGGAAGGCGACCTCCCTTCCCTCCCTCCAGAACTATCTTTCCACCACTCTTTGCATCCGACAGCGGGAACAGCGGAGAAGGAAAAGAAGAAGAGGAGGGAGGTGCGGAAGAAGGAAGCTTGTTGGACAAGGCCAAATCCTTTTTTTCGGACCCGGAAAATCGGAAGGATACTACGCTCTTCGTCACCTCCTTCCTCATCTCCTTAGGGATCAGGGCTTTCATTGTCGAGCCCCGCTACATTCCATCCCTGAGCATGTACCCTACCTTCCTGGTGGGTGACCAATTGGCCGTGGAGAAAGTGACCAAGACATACAAAAACTACGAACGGGGGGACGTGGTAGTGTTCAATCCCACGCAAGGCTATCAAGAATATGTGAGCCGAGACCCGTACATCACAGACAAAAGCCGCATTAACGAGGCCTTGATCAAGCGTATCATTGCGAAAGGCGGGGACGTGGTCGAGGTGAAAGACGGACAACTCTTTGTGAACGGCGTGGCGCAAGAGGAGAAGTACATTGCGGAGGGCCCGGCCTATGTCTGGGGTCCGCGACGGGTCCCGGATGGGATGTACATGGTGCTGGGGGACAACAGAAATCATTCGTTGGACTCGCACATCTGGGGCTTTCTGCCCAAGGAGAACATTATTGGCCGGGCGATCTGTAAGTATTGGCCACCCTGGCGGTTGGGGTTGGTGGAAGGGCCGCTCAGCTCTTGATTGGAACGAGGCAGGGAGGGAGGGAAAGGGAAATGACGGTGTGTGTAGAAAGGCACTGTGGACACACGCACACAAAGAAAGCGATTCTTATGCGTATGGATGACTGGAAGCAAGCTCAACAAAGAACCCGCGACGAGATTGCTACCAGGACAGTGGGCGTACCCAAGGCGTGTCTGCATGCATAGTGCTTTTCGGTTGACGCAATCCTGGTGTACCAGCTTAGAAACACATGCCACGTTCTTCAGCAGCCATTCCTTCCATTCCTTATCATCATCCCTTGCTACTACCATCTCTCTTCGCGCGACGATGACCACCTATGGCAGAATCCCTCACTCCTTCTTCCCCTCCCGGGCGCAACCACGGCCTCATGAGAGTCCCGACACACGTCCTTTTCCCCTTGACTTTCACCTTACCCGTTTTCAAACTATCAATTTCACTTGACTCTATTGTCCGCCTCTTCCCTCCTTCGCGTTTCCTCCACGCTTACACATATATGTAAGAATCTCGCTTTCTTTCCACGACAGTTTTCCTAAGGCTTTTTTGAAAGCCACCTTTGATGTTTCTTGCACTTTATGCGAACAGACAGTGACGAAATGATTAATGAACGCGTAGACCTGGGTGCTAGATGACCGAGCGAGAGGCATAAGCCAGACGATCCCAGACCTGAACCCTAGCTCCTCGCGACCCTGTAAAACAAGTCAGTGCTCTTCCACCGCGCGCGGCCTAGCCTCACTTTACTCGACACGCCCTTGTGATGGGCTTCCCGGAAGGTCTATTCCCTATCTTCCCATCGTTTATGGCACCGCAGGCGGAGCGGTATTCCTCCCTTTTCTACCCCAATAGTGCATGAGCGAGGATTGCTGCTTCTTTTTGGCCCCTGCCGAGACCACTGCGGGACCAGAGGAGGTCGAGGGAGGCAAGCTTTCTGCAGGCGGCACATGTTTTGCCAAGGAAGTGGGAGGATCAGCCGCCTTGATGTCCGTGGGATGAGCAACCTGCGGGCTGAGGATTTCAACGACCATTTTCCCCAGTGGAGGCGAGGAGAGGGACGTGCGCCCGCCAGCCTCACCCCCTTGGGCCTCCCGGGCTTCGTCCTCCTCCTCCCCTTCCCCTTCCTCGTCTTGTGTGGGTCTCTCCTTCTCATTATTGAATCCGTCCGATACCAAGACACACTCCTCCTCGGTTCTATCCGCCGGTTGTGTTGCTGCCCCGGCGTCGGCTGTCCTACCCAATTGACTGCTCGCACGCCCATCAACCACCTCATTCACGTCCATCTTCACGGCCGGTGCCCCTCCTTCCTCCCGCCCTCCCTCCCTTCCTCCCTCCCTTCCTGGTCCACTCCCCTCCGTCCCAACCTCTGCGGAAGGAGGAGGGCGCAACGAGGCAGAGGAGGGCGGGGACAAGACCGACGCTTGGCCTGCGACTGCTCCGGGCTCTGACGGAATGGAAGCACAACCCGCCCTTGTCTGTGCAGCGATAGGCTCAGGACTCCCCACAGATGTGCCTGGAGCGTCTGTCGTCCCGGGTGCTGCGCTTCTTGTGTCCAGTAGTCTCGGTTCCTTCCCAGTCCCCGAATCGCCCTCCGCTTCGGGTCGCCCAGTCTGAATGGAAGGAATGATGACCACCTCCTCGTCCACGTTACCACGATTATCGCCCTTGTTCCCTCCGTCCCCGCCCGTATCCGACGCTGCTGCTTTCTGTTTTGGGTAGAAAAAAGCGGCCGTTGCCGCGGACAAACCGGCGGGGCCTCCCAGAGCCCTACTGTTCGCAAACGACCGCACCGACGTGACTCCGAGTCGGTTGCTGCTCGTGGAGTCGTGGCTCTTGCTGGGGTCGTGGCAATGGCCTTGGCTGGCGTCGGTGCTGTTCGGGAGGGAGAGACTGCCCCTTGCTGGGGGATGGAGGAG